GGTCCACCTCACTCTGTCCCGCAATACCATTGGCCAGGTTGCTCCTGGCGCCTTTGCTGACCTCCGCACCCTCCGTGCCCTGCATTTGGATAGCAATCGCCTGGGGGAGGTGCGAGGGGATCACCTGCGTGGCTTGGTGAACCTGAGACATCTCATCCTTGGCAACAACCAGATCCGCTGGGTGGAGCCCGCTGCCTTCGATGCCTTCTTGGGTACCGTGGAAGACCTGGACCTGTCCTATAACAACTTAGAGTCACTGCCCTGGGAGGCTGTGGGCCAGATGGTCAATCTCAACACCCTCACCCTGGACCACAACCTCATCGACCACATCGCTGAGGGCACCTTTGTACAACTTCACAAGTTGGTCCGGCTGGACATGACGTCCAACCGGCTGCATAAGCTACCCCCCGATGGGCTCTTCCTCCGTGCTCAGGCCTCTGGCCCCAAGCCACCGTCCACTCTGACAGTCAGCTTTGGAGGAAACCCCCTGCACTGCAACTGTGAACTTCTCTGGCTGAGGAGGCTGACCCGAGAGGATGACTTAGAGACGTGTGCCACGCCCGAGCACCTGACGGACCGCTACTTCTGGTCCATTCCCGAGGAGGAATTTCTTTGTGAGCCGCCTCTCATCACTCGGCAGGCAGCCGGCCGGGCCCTTGTGGTGGAAGGCCAGGCAGTGAGTCTGCGCTGTAAGGCTGTGGGTGACCCAGAGCCAGTGGTGCACTGGGTGGCCCCCGACGGCCGGCTCCTGGGGAACTCGAGCCGCACTCGAGTTCGGGGGGATGGGACCCTCGAAGTGACCATCACCACTCTCCGAGACAGCGGCATCTTCACTTGCATAGCCTCCAACGCAGCCGGGGAGGCCACTGCGCCTGTTGAGGTGTGCGTGGTGCCTCTGCCACTCATGGCCCCGCCCCCTGCTGCCCCGCCCCCCCTCAGTGAGCCTGGGTCCTCAGACATTGCCACGCCTGGACGGCCAGGGGCCAATGAGACTGGCTCTGTCGGGGCTGAGCGGAGACTGGTGGCCGCAGAGCTGACCTCCAGCTCGGTGGTCATTCGCTGGCCCGCCCAGAGGCCCGTGCCGGGCATTCGCATGTACCAAGTGCAGTACAACAGCTCAGCTGATGACTCGCTGGTCTACAGGTGAGTTGCACTGACTGGGAAGCCAATGAGAAGGGGCTCTTGAAAGCCGCCGGTGAGCTCACCTCTCCCTGGGGCACCTAGACCCCTCTCCTAACGCTGTGCCTTGAGTCATTTTATCTGTCGCCACCTTCGGTTTTGTCTTCTTTTCTCAGCCCGTCTGTTTCTGTCCATGTGTTTTTCCATTTCTTCCTCTCTTCACCTGTTTTTGTTTCAGACCCCCCTCCTTTTTTCTTTCCTTTGCTGTTTCTGTCTCCTTATAGCCCTCTGACCCTCTCCCTCTTCACCTTCCCACCTCCCCTGCACTGTCTCCATGTATCTTGGAGTCTCCCCTCAGTTTATGGATGGAAGAAAGTGGTGCGAAGGGAGGGGAAAGGGCTCTGCCCACTATACCAGGAAGACTCCCCAAATTTCCAGAGAGTCCATCGTGTCCTGCCTCCGTCTCTCTTCCCACATATCTGGCATGTGTGGGGTGCAGAATAGGCTCCCACATTTTCATCCAGCACCCTAGTCAAGACTCCCAGCAGGGACACTGGACCCCAGCCACTGTCTCACCTCTCTTCCCTTCCCATTAACCCATCCTCGGGTCCCAGGAAAGAGGGCATGGGTCTAATCCCAGTTCCTCAAAGGAATGATAAAGTTGAGAACTGTAACACCTCCTTTCCTCCCCACTCCTCCCCCCCCAGTGCCGTGAGGGTTAATTTGTAGGCCTGTCTAGACGGGCTGAGGTCTCACCCAACCAGAAGCCATCTTTTACCCCAGTCTGTAAGCTCCTGACCAATCAGACCCTCTTGAGCCTGGAGGGTCTTTAAAGAGCCGGGGGCATAGTGGGACAGATTAATCCAAAGAGGATCCCTGAAGTTGGGGGGAGGGCACTCAGTGGAGTCCGGAGGGGGAGGAAAACACTCGGTTTAGAGCTTGGACCTAGATATGTGTGAAGGAGGTGAGGGCTTTTAGGAAAGATGGGGTGAGGAGAGGGCTGGTCCCAGGAAGGGGCGGGGCTTAAGAAGAGCAGGGGGCTGGGCTTCTTGCATTGACATGTCTTGGGAAGAGGGGGAGGGGCCTGAATTGTGAGAAGAGCTGTGGCTTCTGGGGCGTGGCGTATGCGGAGGTAGCCTGTTAGACGGCGTTAGGGTCGGATGTAGAGCCTGGGGGCGTAGTTTGGGTTTGGGATGGGAGTGGGAACCCCTTTGGGCTGGAATGGAGGAGAAAGGGTGCTCCTTAATGATAATAATCATCATCGTAATAGTAATAGCCTTTTAATTGCACTTTCAAGTTTGCAAAGTACTTTCCAGTGGTTAACTCTTCTGAACGTTCCCTCTGGGGACCACAACCCAATATGCATCCACCTCACTTACAATTGCTGAAAAACTGCGCGCTGGGTTTTCAGAGCGAGGGCCACCGGGTGGGAGGTGGTTTAGAGACTAATGGAGTTATGAAATAACTAATAATTAGTTAGGAATAGTTAACTTCCTAGTTGAGTATATTTCTGGACCATAGCTATGGGAAAAGGTCAGGGCTTGAGGGGAGAGTGCCAGGGATGGGCCAGGGCTCCGCTGAGTAGCCGGCTGCAGAAGCAGCGGGGTGTTGCGGAAAGAATGCTGGACCTGGAGGCAGGAAGACTGGAGTTCAAATCCCTGCCTCAGGCACTTATTATCCTGGTCACGAAATCTCTCTCCGGCTTTTACGCGTGATGTATCATGGGCATAACACCTGTCCCCACTGGGTGACTGTGAAGACCTAATGAGATGATGTGTGCAAAGCACTTTGGAATGAAACCGTAAAGCGCTATATCATCAGAAGGCATCTAGCTAGATGGGAGGGGAGGGTCCTGGGGGAGGCTGGAGAGAGACTTGGGCCAGGCTTAATCTGGCAGCTGGAAGGCTCATTAAGTTACGGGATTCAGAGCCTGAAGAGTTTAGCCATTTTCAGAATTTAAGATTTAGAGCTGGAATGGACCTTAGAGGTCCAGGGCCCTCTTTTACAGATGAGGAAACTGAGGCAACCAGAGGTGACGTGACTTGCCCAAAGTCAGGAAGAGCCGACTGTATGCCAGTCACTGAGCTAAACGCTGGAGATACCAAGACATGAGACAGTCCCTGCCCTCCAGGGGCTCCTAATCTAATGGGAGAGCCTACATGAAACAATCAGTACAAACAAGCTATATATATGCAGTTCAATGAAATGGGGATATATCAGAGGGAAGGCGCAAGAATTCAGAGGAATTCAGAAAGACTTTTTTGGAGAAAGTGGGACTTCAGTTGAGACTTGAGGAATAGGTGATAAATAGCAAAGGGTAACCAAAAAAGGATATGAAGCGAGGGCCTCTGGCTGGAAGTTCGGAGAAGGGGGCTTTGGGGGGTAGGTCACAGGGCTTCCTAGACGGCCTGGCCCGGGCTTCAGAAGGCGGGGACAACACTTGGTGGCTAGAGTAGGATTGAAATGAGGGGGTGGGGCGCACAGGGAGACGGCCCTAGAGGACGGCAGGGCTTGGGGAAAGGGTTTGATGAATGGGATGGGCTTAGGGGAAGAGGTGGGATTTCCTAGATGAAAGGACGGGGGCGGGGGGGGGGGTCTAGGCAGGAGGTAAGGGGCTGCATTAGTGGGATGGAGGAGCAGGGGTTTCCTTGAAGGGGAGGGGCCTCCTGGACGGCAGGGGCGGGTGCTCACTCTCCCGTTTCCCCGCCCCCCTCTCTCCCTCTCTCCCGGGACCCCCAGGATGATCCCGTCGAGCAGCAAGACGTTCCTGGTGAACGACCTGGCAGCGGGGCGGGCGTACGACCTGTGCGTGCTGGCCGTATACGACGACGGGGTGACGGCGCTGACCGCCACGCGCGTCGTGGGCTGCGTGCAGTTCACCACGGCCGGGGAGGTCACTCCGTGCCGCCCGCTGCACGCTCACTTCCTGGGGGGCACCATGATCATCGTCATCGGCGGCGTCATCGTGGCCTCGGTGCTCGTCTTCATCGTCATCCTCATGATCCGCTACAAGGTCTACGCGGGCGGCGACGCCGGCTCTGGCCACAAGGGGGCGCCGCCGCGCGTCAGCCACGTGTGCTCGCAGACCAATGGTGGCGCCGCGGGCTCGGGCCCGGCCCTGCCCCCGCCTTCCACGCTGGACCAATACGAGGCTCTGCACGAGCTGGCGCCCGCGCCGTCGGGGCCAGACAAGGAGAAAGTCAAGGTCGAGGCCGAGGGGGCGGTGGCGGCACCGCCCCCATTGGTGGAGGCGGAGCGGCTCCCGGCCCGGCCGGGATCCTCCACTTCGCTCTGCCTGCTGCCCTCGGGGACCGAGGCGGCAGCGCCGTCGGGGCCGGAGGAGGACGGGCGTGCGCAGCTGGGGCCCGTGGGCCCTCGGCGAAGCGTCTCGGGGGCCCCCCTGGGGACCTCGGCCCCGGCCTCAACCCCCGCGCTTCCCCCGGGCCGGACCCCCCGGCAGCGCTACTCTTTCGACGGGGACTATGGCGCCCTCTTCCAGAGCCACAGCTACCCGCGCCGGGCCAAGCGGACAAAGCGCCACCGCTCCACGCCCCACCTGCTGGACGAGGACGGGGGCTTGGGTGGCCTGAGCCCCGCGCGGGCCCGCCTCGCCTTCACCAGCACCGAGTGGATGCTGGAGAGCACCGTGTGAGCGGGACCCCTGGGACCTCCGCCCAGCCTGGGGTGACTCCCACTCCCCAGCCGAGGGGAGTGCGTGCCCTCCTCGCCACCCGAGGCACGGACGCCTGGGTTCTGCAGGGGGACACCTTCCGCAATCTGGACGCCTGGGTCCCCAGGGGAGGAGGGAGGATCGATTTGGGGGAGAGGGAGGGGAGGGAGCGGAAGGAAGCCCCGCTCCTTCTCTGCCCGGCCCCGCCCGCATGCGGGGAGGGGCTAGGTTGGAGGGGGAGGGGAGTAGCATGGACGTACTGGGTCTCCTCACTTCCCCTTTCTACCCCACCCCGGGTTCTTCACGCGCGCTCCGGGACCTCGCGGGAGCCGGTGCCTTACACAGCGGAGCGCGGGGCGGACACTTAGCAGCACTGAGACACGACACTCCCCACCGGGGACTGGTGGATGCAGCCCTGGACGGCCCTCCGGGGAGGAGGTGCCCACCCGGGGCAGGGGAAGGGAGGGCTGGGAGGGGGAGGGGGGCCTATTTATTGTATCTGGCTGGACTAGATCTTGTTCTGTCGCGTGTTTCCCCGAATCATGACCCCATAATCATCCCCGTCTCCTCCCGCTCAGCTCCCATCGACCCTCACTCATTACCTTTCAGTCCCCTCCCTGACTTCACGGATCACAGCGTCAGAGCTGGAAGGGGCCTAGAGATCACAGTCTGCTCCCTCATTTTACATGCGGGGAAACTTGCCCAGAGAGGGGAGGGGATTTACCCAAGGACACACAGCCAGGACTAGAATCCAGGTCTCCTGATTCCCAGTCTGTGGCGCTGTTCGATGCACCACACTGCCTCCTCTTCCTCCCTTCCCCCAGCTTTCCAATCTTTTTCCATCTCTCCTCTCCCATCATCCTCATCTCTCTTTGCCCCCCCTCCCCAGTCATGCCCACCTCTTTTTCCTCTCCAACCTTGTCTCTCCCACATCATCTTCATTCTGGGCTGGTCCTGGCCTTGGACTCAGGGTTTTCCTTTGTAGGCCTGGAACTAGGACCTACCCCAAATCAAACCAAATCCTCTTCCATCAACACCCCTACCCCCTGCCGGGGGCTTCCAGTCGCAGCAGAATTAAACTTTTCTGTGTCTGAGCCCCCTGAGTGATCTGTGTGTGTGGAGTGGGGCAGGCTGCCATGGGAAGGGATTTAGGTTAGATTTCAGAAGGGGTCAAGAAATGGCTGCCCACTTCCAGAAGATGGGGGATGGCTCTGCTCACCCTTGTCCAGAGGAGGATCAGAAAACAATCCGATTTCGAAGGTGAAGAGTGATGTGGGGAGATGGAGGAGGGAGGGGGAGGGAGATGGAGGAATAGGTGCCTGGCAGACCTGGTAAAGGGGGCAGGAGAATGGGATACAAACCTGCTCCTGGTGGCAGTGACAGTGTCAAGCTAGTGTGGGGTTTGGAAAGCTGGGAGCATCAGCAAAAAGGCAAGAGGAGACAGAAATGAGATGTTGAGAAACGGGGGTGGGGGAAGGTGTCCTTGGGCGACTCCAAACTCCTCCCTACCTGGTCTGGGGATGGATATGAGAGGCCCCAGTTTCCTGGGTTTGCTGGGGGCAGAGCCAGCCCTATGTCCCCTTGGGGCCAAGCGGGCAGGGGATGGAGAGAGACGGAAATAGAAACAGAGACGTCTCCAAGAGAGAGGGGGGATGGAAAAGACTGCAGACTGCAGAAGGGGGAGGGGAGGCAGGCAAGGATGCTGAAAGACTAGGTAGGGACAGAGACACTGGGAGAGACAGACCCTGCAGGGGCAGCAGCATCTCAGGTAAATGTTTAGTAATCGATGGAGAGAGAGACAGACTGGGGAATGGAGGCAGAAAGAAAAAAGGAAGGAGGTACACTTAAAGAGGGAGGAAGACAGGTAGTGAGGTAAATAGAGAGGAGCGATGAGAAAGAGAAACAGGCAGAGAAAAATAAAGGTTATCTTGGCCAAGATAAAAGATAATTCAAAGGAGGCTTTCACTTGAGGGTAGTGGTTCCTGATAGGCCCTCTACAAAATACCCTTTATCATACTTTGGAATACCTCAGGGTCCTAGTCCCTGCCCCCCCCCCCCCAGCCAGCTCCATATCCCTATATACCTCCACTGCAAATAGGAGGTAACTAACTGCACCCTCCAAGCACAGCCCAAGGAAGAGTGGGGAAGGGGGGATGTTTAGAAGCCATCACCTCAAGCTTTAGGAACTGTCCTATGGACTGGCCTGACCTGCATAAGAGGCATACCACTTTAAAATCAAAAGATCCTGGCAGGGCTGCCAGCTGAGATTTGGAAGCCCCCAAACTTCAGACCAACAATAAAGGATAAAGCTAGCCAAGAGGGAGAAGATTGGAGAAGTGGATTCCCAGGAGGCCTGAGGTCAAGGGCCAGCTCTGCCACTGACCTTGGCCAATTCTCTTCTCATCAGCTTCAGTTTATAGAGGAGATTTTCTCTGGCTCCACAAGGTGATTGGGAGGGAGGGGCAAGCTGTGAAGATCCAGAAAACAGATCTGGCTCTGCCATTGACTCCAATGCCATAAATTTGGGGGTGGATTTCTGCAAAGCAGGAGGTTTTCATGAATATTGTTTAGTAGCGATCACCTTGTGGGGTAACTTCATACCTTCCCATCAAAAAGCTTGAATTAAAATGAATTTTTTTGCTAACAACCCCCTCCCCTCCCCATGTATCTGAAACCATCTTTTCCTAAAGGAGCCATGCCTAGATTCTGATCCATGTAGGCATTATGTACTGGGTCAGCTTCTTTTAGACCAGTTCTGTCCCAAAACCCAAGCAGTGCAAGGATTCTGTACCTGGTGTGGAGAAGAGGTGAGGTTCAGAAGTGGGCACACTGCACTGGAAGTCAGAGGACCTGAGTTCAAATCCTTTCTTTCATCTCATACCAGCTCTGTGACCTTAGGCAAGCCACTTGATCTCTCTAGGCCTCCATTTCCTCCTCTGTAAAATGAGGGAATTGGACTAGGGAACCCTTCCAGACTGAAACCTAACACCCTCTGACGGAAAGAGCCATGGATTTGGAGTCAGGGAATTGAACTTGGAATCCCAGTGCTACCTATGGTTCTGTGTTTCTCTACAACTCTGAGAGCTAAACATCTGTGCCCATCCAGGAATTAAACAAGGAACAGGCAAGGAGCCAGGAAGACTCCCTCCTAAATCGAACTGGGCAAACTTCCTCCTCCTGCTCTTTCCTAGGGAATTGTGGGAGTTGTAGGCCTGATCTGCCAGCCTCTTCCCAGCCCCCGCCCTCCCCTTTCCCTCCCTCCCCGCTATCCACCTGCGTCCTTATCTGAGTGGCTGTCCCATAGCCCAGAAGAGAGGCCCCGCCCCTTTGTCTAGTCCCTGGCTTCCCCCCATGGAGAATCCCTTTATTGGCTAAACAAAGCAAAAGCGGGACCAAAAGGGAAGTGACTCAGAGGAGGACTTAGAGACAGGTAGAGCTGGTGTCACCTCTTACGTAATTGGAAAATCCATAGGAGGGATTTCCCCACTGCCAGCCCTTCCAGGCTCCCTGCCCCCTCTTCTGAGAAGATGCCCTAAATTCAACATTGTCACTAAGTCTTCTCAGCTGTACTGTCAGCCCACCTCAAGACCCTGGGATCCCTCTCTGAAAAATGAGGACAGTAATGCATTATTGGTGTCTGTGCTGGCAGGTGGCAGACAAGGCCCAAAGAGAGGTCCAAGATGGAGTAGGCATGGGGAAGAAGCATTTAAGTGCCTACTATGTGCCAGGCACTTTGCTAAGTACTTTGCAAATATTATCTCATCTGATCCTCACAACTCTGCGTGGTAGGTGTTATCATCACCCCCATTTTACAGTCAAGGAGACTGAGGCAAACAGAGGGTAAGTGACTTGCCCAAAGTCACACAGCAAGTAATTGTCAGAGGCAAGATTTGAAGTCTGGTCTGGTCTTTGATGCTAGGCCCAAGGCTCTATCCCCTGTACAATAGGGCTACTTAGATAATCGAAGCTAGGAGGAGAGAGAAACAGCAGTAGAGAGCCAGGTAGGAAATGGAGCGTTAGACTCCAAGTTTGAAAGACCTGGGCTCAAATCTCCCTTTAGAAGCTTTCTCCAGGTTCGATCCTTGGCACGTAGCTTAAAAAAAAAAATTCTCTAGGGGCAGCTAGGTGGGGCAGTGGGACCTGGAGTTGGGGGTACCTGAGTTCAAATCAGGTCTCAGACACTTACTAGCTGTGTAACCCTGGGCAAGTCATTTAACCCAGATTGCCTCCCCACCTCCTCAAAAAAAAAACCAAACCTCTCTGTGCCTCAGTTTCCTTATCAATAAATTAAACAAGTTGATCTCCTAACTCTACAATCCCATAATTAGAAAAATCACAGCAATAAGAAGGGAGGGGCAGGTAGAAGGGAAGAAAGGAACTACAAAAGAAACAGAGCAGTGGGGGAGGAGGAGACAGACTGTGGAGATGTATATACAACTAGAGGACTGGGAAAGAGGGAGAGACAAAGGAGCAGGGCAGACAGAGACTTGGGGAAGAGATAAACCAAGACATACCAAAAAAAAAAAGATGGGCAGAGAGAGGAGGGAATGGCCGAGGAGGGAACCTGATGTAATCCTAAGTTTGAGTGAGGAAAGCATGCACTCACCATTTGAAAAGCCAGGAGAGCTGATGGGCAGGCCTGACACCGCTCTCGTCATCCTCTATCTCTTTTATCGGTTTTTGGTTTTTTTTTTCCTTCTCCCCCTCGCCTCTAAAGGATAAAACCCAGCGTCATGGGGCCTGAGCAGAGGTGCGAGCAACCCGCAGCCCTCCTGGGGACCTCAGGATTGCACTTACAGAAGGAGGGAAAGAGGCTTTGCACTCTAGGGGCAAAGGGCTGGAAGTCGGTCGGTTCCTCCTCCAGTCTAACCCGGATCCACGATGCAATCGGGACTGAGTCTCCTGGTTTCCTTCAGTCTGGCGCTCTTGGCGCTTCTGGGCTCAGGGGACCCCAGCGACCCGCGCCCAAAGCGCTGCAGTCTCGGATATTATCACTCGCTGGACCCCAAGGCACTGGCGGCCGTCAAAACTTTCAGGGACTCATATGTGAGTCCCGAAGCCAGGACTTCTGAAAGCCCAATTCACCAGACTTTCAGCCCTTCCCAGAGCAGTCCAGACAGGCAGGCTCTCAACCTTTTGCCCCCCAGCTCCTCAGGGACTTAGGTATCTGGAAACCTAACCTGTCTTACCCACCTCGACAGCAGTTAGAGGAGCGAGGGCCGGCTTAGTAGAGAGAACGCTGGCCTAGGAATCAGGAATACTTGTGTTCGAATCCTGCCCAGGTCATTGCCTAGCTGTGGAATTTCAGCTTTAGCTTCCTCAACAGAAAAATGTAGTATAATAACAGCACCAACTTATCCAGATTGTTATGAGGACCAAAGGAGAGAATATAAGTAAAAGGCTTTGTAATCCTTGAAGAGCTCTGTGTAGCTATAGCCAGAGAGCTGGCCTGGAAGCAAGAAAGCTTTGAGTTCAGGTGTCACCTGGGACACGTCCTGGCTGTGTGACCCTGGACAAGTCACCTCATGGATTGGTGCTCTAGGCAATTCTCTAAATGACAGAGGAGGCGGTGACCTCCATTATTAGTACTGAGAGTTTCCTCCCTAAGGGATTCCCAGTGTTCTCTATAATTACGAGTATCCAACTCCCAGGTCCGCTAGCCCAGACTCCAGAGTTCTCCGAACTCAGCATACTCCAGCCTCGTCCCTTTTTTCCTGCAATCGCCCGAGGAGTCTAGTTGCCCATTCTCCCTAAAGGTTTCCTTCCTCCTCCTCCCCCAGGAACAAGAGATGCTGAGCTGGGGAAAGAGAAATTGCTCATTCTCTAGGAGAAAGGAGCCCCGGAAAGTCTCGGTGAGCCCCTGGGACATGGGGGGGGGGAGGGGAACACTCGGATGACGGTCCAAGGACCATCCCTCCAAGGGTTGTCTCATCCCTAGCCCTGCACCCGTCTCCATCTGGCGGCCCTCGCCCTAGAGAACACCGAGTCCGTTCTGCGGAACCTGAGTCGTCCTGCTCTGGCTACTAGAGCCGTCCCAGTCCTCGAGCTGCTCTCTGCCGTGAGGAGGAATGTGGTCGCCTGTATGACGCCGCCCAGCCTAGGCTCCCTCCCTAAACCTTCCGCTAGTCTTAGTATGTTAGGCTATGGTCACAGCGGACCCCGGCCAGGCAGACCCAGGGAATTGTCTCGCTTAGCAGAACCCCGGCGTTCGGAAGGTCACCCGCCTACACAGCCCCGGACACGAGACCCAGAGAGAGAGGACCCTGGAGAGGGGAAATGGGCTCAGCCCCCAGATTTCGACATTCAAGTCTCTCCAAGTCGCGGCAAGCTGGAGGGAGTGGATCAGAGCTCCAAGAGCAGGAGAAAGTACCTTCAGGAGAGGCGAATGACTAAAGCGAAGAGTTTGGTAAAGAGTGCAATGTAGCGGGAGGGATGGTGGGTAGTCCTGAACGGAAAAGCCAGAAGATTTGAGGGTGGAGGATTTGGGGGTGGGGGCTGGAGAGGAAAAGGGAGGGCGAAACCGAGGGGAAGAAAGTGAGGATCCATGTGTTCTCCACCAGGAAAGTCCACAATGTCGTGAAGCCGAGACCATTCTCAGCCTCCTGAAACTGCTCACCTTTGACCTCAAGCTGGTTATTCTCTCTGGATCCTGTGCCTGAGCTTTCCCGGGTCCAAAGCGGTCTTCTCTACTGGGGCTTTCTACTATCCGGGGATGTGTCCCAACGTCAATTGACAAGCGAGGTGCTCAGGCTCCCTGTTGTGCCTAGTTGGATTCCAAACTTTTCTAGCGCTCATTTCCAGACAACATCATTAGACAGCAAGAGGACTGTGTGGTTGGCTCAGAGCCTGTAGCCTCTTGTTCAAAATCCTGGGGCCGGGGCCAGGGAGAGTGAGGGGCAATGACGTTATGATCACTGTGGTAGGGGCAGCTAGGTGGCACAGTGGATAGGGCACTCTTGGAGTCAGAAGCACCTGAATTCAAATCTGGCCTCAAACACTTACTGGCTGTGTGACCCTGGGCAAGTCACTTAACCCTGATTGCTGCAAAAAAAAAAAATCACCATGGTACCTTGGGCAATTCACGGCACATGCTTGAATCTCAATATTTTCAAAGCTGTAAAATGGGACAAAAAGCAGCATCGTGAGACAGAAATTTGTCCAAGTCTACCTTGGGCAAATCATGCGGTTGATCAGTTTACCCAATCTGAAAAATGGGGACAATACACCTACCCAGGAGGTCATTGTTGTATGGTGCAAAGTAAATTGAACCTGGAGTCAAGAGACTTAGTGATGCCACAAACTGTGGAACTCTCCTCAAATCATTTACCCAACCAGGTCTCAGTTTCCTCCAGTAAAATGGAGATAATACTCACAAGATTGTCGTGAGAAACATGTTTTGTCCATTAAATTGTTTTGTAAATATGAATGTCATTATCCTGCCGGCCTCATAAGGCTATTGATAGTGAAAGGGCCTTGACTCCTGCAGAATACTTCCTAAATATGGTGTTTTGTTAAGGATAGACTGCTGAACCTCTGTGAGATATAATTCTGTTAATATGATCCATATGCTATTTTTTTAATGGTTTTCCTGTCTGGTTCTCTCCCTGTTAATTTATAGTTCTTTATAAACCTTATATAAACAATGGTGTCTTATAATTCACTCACTACAGACCCACTCCCATCCTACAGAGCTCAAGGCCTCATCCCATTCTTAAAAATCTGTGGAACATTGAGGGTCCCACGCAAACAGTTCAGTGCAATGATTGGGGGGGGGAGGGGAAGTGCAGGACTGAAAGCCAAGAGGTCTAGGTTTCATTCTGTAATCAGTTCCTGAATTACTGTGATCTCATCCTTCCTATGCCCTATAAAATGTGTGTGTGTGTGTGTGTGTGTGTGTGTGTGTGTGTGTGTGTGGTGTCTCTTAAGTCCTTCAGACTCTGACATCCTTTTGTTCTATGTAATGAGTCAAAGATATAGGTACAGTGTAGGTGTCAGAGACCCTGAGTTCCCTACCATGGAGAGCTGCCACTCAGAGTCAAACACTAGAAAGAAACAGTTGGGATAAATCTAACAGGTCAATCAATATAGCTCAACCACAACCACACACAATGAAGGCACCAATAAAGTAAGGGCTGGTGGCTGCCTCATTGTATTGGAACCGATAGCATGGTAGTCATTCAGAATAAAGGCACTCATTAAGAAGTTATGCACAGCATTGGGACCAGTCAAGGGAGGAAAGGAGTAACTAAGGAAGAAAGAATCCTCCCCTCCCTAGCTAGCTACCTTCAGAGCTCAGCTCAGGAGTCATGTTCTACACCAGGCATTTCCTCCTCTCCCCAGCCATGTCTGCCTCCCCCTCACCAATGTGCATTTTGTACTTCCAAATGTATGCTGATCTCTCCCTACCCATCCCCCAATAGGTCATGTTACAGAATCACAGAACTTGAATTCAAAGACACCTCACCCACCATCTTGTCCAACCCATTAAAAAAAAAAAAAGAATCCCTGTTATAATTTACCTGATGAATAAATTGAAGACCTGTAAGGAGGAGGAGCCCAGGACCTTCCAAGCCATACTGTTCTTCCTTAGGACAGCTCCAAATGTGAGGAAACTTTCCCTGATACGTAGCATTAGTTGATCCCTTCCTAACTTCCACGAATTCCTCTTGGCTCAGTCATCTGGGGTCAAACAGATCTGTCTAATCCCTCCTTGACATCAATCAATCAATAAACATTTGGTATGTGCCTACTACATGCCAGGCATTGTGCTAAGCATTGGAATGCAAAAAGAGGTAAAAGACAGTCCCTGCCCTTAAGGGGCTTACAGTCTAATGGGGGAGACAACCTATAAACAAATATATACAAAGCAAGCTCTATACGGGATAAATAGGAGACAATTAATAGAGGGAAGGAAAAAGAAGTAAGATGACTTCTAGGAGAGACAGAGAGAAAGAGAAAGAGAGAGAGAAATCGAGAAAGAGGGGGCGAGTAGAGAGAGAGACTTAGTTGGGACTTAAAGAAATCTAGAGAGATCAGAGAAAGAAGGCATTCCAGGCAGGGGGACAGCCAGCCAGAGAAAATGCCCAAAGCCAAGAGATGGAGTATCTTGTTCATGGAGCAGCCTGGAGGTCAGGGTCACTGGATCAAAGAGTCCATATACTTCAAGATGGCTATTAGACTTCCAGCCAAGATGGCTGCCTGAATGGAAGTGGACCACCTAGCTCCCCAACACCTACTGTAGCAAAAATTTGAAATTCACGCCAAAAATCCAAGGAGAAACTACAGGAAATTACTTGTTCTACAACAGGATTGCATAAAAAGCCAGCTATCAGGTCATAGGCAATAGGAAAGGGGCCACTGCAGGCAAACAAGCTTGGAATCTCTTGAATGAGAGATAAGGGCCAGATACAATTATAAGCTGCAGAGCTCTGTGTCTGAAAGCAGCAAGAGTAGATGGCTACTCTGAGAAAATTCGAGGTAGAATTTAACTCCCAAGAAGGTCTTTGGAAACCCTTGGAAAGAAATAGCTACCAGCTGCAGTAGGGTAGGCCAACACAAATACAGTTGAGACCATACATCCCAGGGTTTGAAGGTCCTGAGACAAGAGAGGGCTCTGAACCCCAAAGATCCAGGGGAGCCTAACCCCAGGAGGAAGAGTTCATCATAGGAACCCATGGAACCAAGAATGCATGGAGAACTGATCACTCTACACAAAAGTCCAATAGGAGCCAGAGCTTGGCCCTTGGACATTTTAGGAACTAGAGCTGGAGAGATGAGTAAACCAAAGAAGATGCCAACTAGGATTTAAAATTATTCCAAATCTAGAGATTTCCCCAAAGGAAGAAGAAAATAACTCCATAACAATTATATGCAGAGACTTCAAGGTGGGGGCAAGGGTGGGGGGGAAGGATTTTCCACAAGCATTATATGAATGTTTGCAAGAAGTGAAGTAGGTAAAAAAAATTTTTTTTTAAAAGTTCTGGATGGAAGAATTGGAAGGAGAAAAAATAGTTTAGAAGAGAAAGGGGCAAACCTGACCCAAGTAATGGACTACTTGAAAACTAAAAGAGTAGAAACAGAAATCAATGACTCCACAAGACAGCAAAAAAAAAAAAAAAAAAATTAGAACAAAATCAAATGATTGAAAAATGGAAAAAAAATACAAGATATCTGATTTTGAAAACAACTGACCAAAAAAACAGTTAGAAGAAGGTAATATAAGAATCACCAGACTCCTTGAAAACCATGATTTAATAATTTTAAAAAATCCTAGATACTATATTTCAGGAAATCATAAATGAAAACTGCCCAAATCTATTAGAACCAGAGAATGAAGATAGACATAATGTACTGATCACCTCCTGAAAGGAATCCTTGAAGGAAAAGTCCCAGGAATATCACATAAAAAATCCAGAGTTACTATGTCAAAGAAAAAGTATTGTAAGCAGCCAGAAAGAAGCAGTTCATGTTCCAAGGAACTACAAGACCTGGCAGTTTCTACTATAAACCAGAGATCTTAAAATACGACATTCCAAAAGGCAAAAGAAATGTACTTTCAACAAATAATAATTTACCCTGCAAAGTTGAGTATTATCCTACAGGATAAAAAAAAAATGGACTTCAATGGAATACAGAACTATCAAACATTTCTTCTAACAAGACCAGGGCTGAATAGGAACTTTGAAATTCAAGCACAAGTCAAAAGAAATCTTAAAAAGTTAAATGTATTTCAGGAATTGGAAGAAGTTGTATGATGATGTAGTGCTAACATTCTAAATGGGAGAAAAGAAACAAATGTTCCTTCAGAACTTTAATATCTTCAAAGGGCTTTGAGAGAGTTACATAGGAAAAACAGAGGTCTTGATGGTGGATTGGTTCTATTCTGAGGATTTTAAAAGGGAGAGAAGAAAAAGAAGAAGAAAAGTAATATCTAGAAAGGAGCGAGGAGGGGGTGGAGCTTGCCATTTCTTATAACTGGGGTAGAAGATGGAGAATACACAAACATGAAGGAAAGGGTGAGGGTGGCATCTGGTGAACCTCACTTTTATCTCATACAAAGAGAGTTGGATACACATAACCAGTTTACTGTAGAAACACATCTTACTCAACAGGGAGACAAACTGGGATGGGGGGGTGGAACATTGAGAGAGAGGATAACATCAGGCAGGGAATAGTTCCAAGGAAAACAAGCTTTCCCATCATGAAGGGACAACTAAAAGGGGTGGGGGAAGGAGCAAAAAAGAATAAGAACTTAAGGTGTCCATCAGTTAGAAAATGGATGAATAAATTATGGTATGTGAATGAAGTGGAACATTATTGTGCTATAAGAAATGATGAAAGACAGTACTGCATAAAGTCCTGGGCAGAATAAACTGATGCAGAGTGAAGTGACTGGAACCAGGAGCACAATATTTACAAGGACAACACTGTAAAGACAAACCACTTTGGTAAACTGAAGAACTGTGATCAATGTAGTAACCAACCATGTCTCCAGGGGACCAAGCATGATCAAGCTTGGTCACACCCACCTCCTGACTAAGTAGTGGTAGACTCAAGGTGAAAGAAAAAATGGAATGCATTTTTGGACATTCAAATTCAAAAAACATTTATTAAATACTCACTATGTGACAGGTTTTCAGCCATGTTGTCAAATGCCTTCAATGACGATGAACATGGCATCAAGATCAGCCACTGCACCGATGGTAAATTCTTCAACTTGAAAAGGCTACAAGCCAAGACTAAAGTGGAGGGAGAGTTGGTGCATGATTTTCTGTTCACAGATGATTGTGCACTCAATGCAGCCTCTGAAGCTGAGATGCAGCAAAGTATGGATGGATTCTTTGCTGCTTGTGCTAATTTTAGCCTAACAATTAACACCAAGAAAACACAGGTTCTCCATCAGCCAGCACCACACCATCCATATGTGGAACCATTGGTTACAGCAAATGGAGAAGTTTTGAATACTGTGGATAAATTCACTTACCTTGG